TTTCCTATCAGATTGTAATAGGAAGGCAACATCATTATTGGTCCTGAAGAATGATTCTACTTACCCTCCAATGAATATTAATACTTAATGGGTCCAAATTTTTAAATAAAATAATCTGATCTGTACCTCTTTTAATGCTTTATAAACATTCTTACATGGGGGTCTGGCTGTTTAATAACAATGCTCTGATTAATGCCATTATTTAACAAGTCAACATTAAAGAACACTTTTGATTTCATAACATCACAAGTTGAGAACAGCTGTTTGGTGAAATCAGATTCTGTTACGTGTGTTCTGGAGCCACCTAGAGGAAGAATTATTTAATATGGTTGAATCGGCATTAACGAAACATTCAATTTTTAAATCAACACGTGCAAATGCAACATGTCAAAACCTCTTAAACATCATTCATATTCATCTGGGTTATTAGAGTGGATTTCTTTTTTATCTATATTTTCTGGAAGAGTTCTGCTCTCTGAACAGAATATTCAGAAGTTTACTAATGGAACAACATTCCATGCAAGAGAGCCTGGATGAAAAAGATAAAGCAAATGTTAGAGATAACTAAAATCTTTGTCCACATTATCCACCTCTTAGACACATCTGGATGAAACTTTCTCAACTGCTATTCCCAGTTGTCTTCACACTCATTCAGGAAGCTTTTCACCAGGACAACCATCTCTGAACTAGAGTCACAAGCTTCATGATATACTTCTTCACATGTTTTCACAGCTTCTACCACAGACTGAAAATATCTGGTATCAAAACTCTCCTGCCTTCATCTTCCATCAGACAAACTGCCAAATGTGCTAGCACTATATGTCTAAGCTGGATCTTCCAAACAGTGGTTTTGAAGAATTCCATAACAATCCCAGCCTGGACAGAATAATGGTGCTTTCTTGCTCTTTTTCATGATCACCACCTCTGACAGTTTGTTCTCCCATCCTATTTCTTTGTTGTTTCAATAGATTTAATTGTGGGCAGTATCTTGATTGGTCCTTTAAGGCAAAGCAAATGATATATTTTAATTTTTTTTTCATTTTGCTCATATCCTAAAGTGGTTCGCTAGTAAAGATAGTCCACCTTTGCTGATATCCTGAAGTGGCTTGCTTATTATGATACTTCACAATATTGGAAATTCAAACCAGGACGAGCCTGGACAGTCAGAAGGCTCACTTATGATCTGTTCCCAGCAATCACAAGTGTAGGAAGCAGACCAAACCAGAGCAATCCTACCTGCACACAAAAAAGTAGAATCCCTTGAAAGTGATTCAGAAAGGTGTAGGTAGGAATGCTCTGGGGAACAATTTGGTTTGTTCAAGTGATTATGTCATTGTTGTAAAAAGGAGTGAACCAATGTATCCCTATAGCAGACCAAATGCCCATCTGATTGCACCCTTGGACACAAAATACTGCCTGTCATTCACCACTCCCCTTCCTCCTGTATTTCATACAAAGCAGCATAGAATACTTAAGAGTACAGATTAGCTTATCTTTTAAAAAATACCTTCAGCTAGTTGCTGCAATGTGCATCCTTAGTTGCTTCTGGAAAGGACATAATAATCAACAGAGGAAGGAAAACTCATAGTAATGAGTTCCTCCTGTGCAAATTACCTCAGCATGCAGCCATGTATCAAAAAAGTAGGGGGAAATGCCATCCAAAGATGCTCTTTTTTTCTTAATCAATTGCCAAATGGCACAATTTTATAGCTTTCCTGAATCTTTCCAAAAGCAGAACAAGAATTACTATCAGAGACACAACTCATTTAAAAACAACATCCAACAAATATGAAGGCCATCCTTTCAGTAGCCTACAGTCCTGTGCCACAGAAAATAACCAAGATTCTCAAACTTGTACTATAGCTAAACAGCCCAGCCTAATCCTTTTGTACCCTCTTGTTAATTCCCAGCTATGCTCACCTACAGCACAAGCTGAGGCTTTTGTTAATTTAAGCAAAGCAAACACAAAAACAAACCAAAAGCCATTAATCAAATAGTTGCAAAGTTTTGGGATAGTTTGGTAAATCCCTATTCACATTACCAACCTCTTATAAATATCTGGATGAAACTTTCTCAACAACTGCTCGTCTTCACACTCAGTCAGTAGGAAACATTCTACCAGGGCAAACATATTTGAACAAGTCCCTAAAGAAACCTCTGTAGTAGGTTTAGGGAAAAAGTGAAGACTAAAGTGCCTTTCGCTGACATTTACCATTAGTTTTCACATTTGTAACTGTAACCCTAATCTTAAAATTTACTTCCATTGATCCTCATACCATTAAGAGAACAATTAGATTCAAAATTAAGTTTGTTAAAAGCTTTGTGGATACTCACTGAAAATGATTTTGTTGCTTTTGGGAACATAAAATCCACTTTCCAACTTCAAATACAGCAACATACAGTGTTAGCAAATACCTATGCTAACATACGCCAGTATTTGTAAACATCACTGAGGAAATCAAACATGTCACATAACACAGAAATGTGAACAACTTGGTCTAGTTTTGCCTCAGGATATCTTGGCTCGTCCTGGTAGATATACAATCAGCAAAGTATGGAGGAGATTCTTAAATATATAAAATGTTTGCCCAACCTATCCAGATAAGAGTTGAGCCTTGATAAATATTAAACAAGCATTATAACTGATTTTTAAAATTCTGTTTAGCACATGTTGACAGAACGAGGTCCTATTTAGAAATTCAAAGTGAACATTAGTTAGCTCCTTGGATTATATACATGTACAGAAATATATACAATACACTGGGATGTCACAGAGGTTGCTCAAAGATATGCAATGTGATATGGATTTCCCCACCCTAAATTGCCCCCAGTCCTTCACATTGGAGGACACCCAGAAATTGGCTGGCATTGAAATCAGGTGACTGCACAGCTGGGACGGCTAACCTGCAACCTTCTAGATGTTGTTGGACTGCAATTCCCATCAATCATCACATACACTATGTCAGCTGGACCTGGGAGTTGTAATAAAACATCATTTGGTGAGCCAGCTTGCCACATAACATAATACCAAACTAGCACTAAAGAACTCAAAATTCTTCCTAACTGTCTGCCTTTGGGCAAGACTCATGGATTCCCAATTAAAATTAGCTCACACTAGCTTGTTGGGAAGATGAAATGGTACAACTGGTCACTGGCACAGAGGGCTGATGCAAGGTTAACTAGCTTAAATCTGCAATGAGAAATGATGCTTCCTACACAACCTTGCATAATTATCTTTCTGCCTAATGTACAAGAGAAGAGGGACCTATTAAAGATGGCAGTTTGAACCATTCAATCCTTACAACTGAGGCTGAGAAGGTCACCTTTCGTAGCCGAACCTACTCTACATTTGGGCTTAGATGATAAAAAGGATCCGAATCCCCACCTAAGTGCTGAACTTTCTGGACTCTTTCTTTGTCTAATCTACCTCATGTGGCTGTTGCGATGCGATGACCAGTGTCATCCTCTGAATGACACTGGTCCAACCACCATTTCTTAAGTAAGTCTACCTCCCAGGGCCGTTATGGGGATAAAATGACTCAGATCTCTCTCAGGTGACCTTGGACTAGATAGCACACTAATCAACCTCAAAGGGCTGTCAGATAGAATAGCTCAAATCCCTTTCCCATAAACCAGGGCCAGCCACCATTGTTCAACTTAGCCTCAAAGAATGGTTCAATCTTGTTTGAGCGACATTCACCATCTTTCAGCCAAGCCTACCTCGCCAAGTTGTTGTCAAGTTAGAAGATCTACCCTGCTGTGTTGCTTTTAACTTTACTCTCAGTTGATGCCAACGTTTTTAATGCATTTAGCTGATTTTAAACATTCATAAGGTGGGGCTGGTTTTACTTGATTTTATGTTGTTGTTTTAAAAGTAAGGGCCTATACTGGATTGTTGCCAGATGATATTTTTTAAATCTTGATTGTTTTTTTTCCTTTGGCTATTATTTGTTATATTATGTTACAAATTTCGTATTGTTTCTCTGGTTGATTTGTTACTTTTGTTATTTTTGTTCACCGCCTAGAGTAGTGCTTTGCCACTAAGTCCAGAGCTATAAAACACAAAATAATATAGTGAAATTCCATATTACTTAAAGAATGTTTACTCTTTTTTCTTACAAAGATTGTAAGCCACCTTGAGTGCACCTTTCTAGCAGAAACGTAAGAAACAAACAAACAAACAAATGTAACATGTACTTGAGAAGGGAAAATTTTTACTCCCAGTGAGGATTCACTCTGCTTTTGGAGAGAAACAGGGCAACATAGTATATAAAAAGAAGCATGTAATAAAATGATGCAAATTGGTAAGTCCCAAGGGGTGCTGTGTTTCTCCTTCCGTTTCAATGTATCTCTCTGACATTTTAGTTACATTTTTTTTCATTTTGTTTGTCATAATAGTTTCTTTTTAATACAAAATAAATAAGCGAACCTGAGGCAGCACCACACCTCAGGCCAAATCACCTTCAGAAGGCTGTTGAGAGGCCAGAACAGTTCAAAGTCAACCTGCAAGGCTTAAAGGTGCCACAGGATTCTTCGATGTTATAAAGTCCCTTCCTATTTCCCTGCCTAGCCCACCTCACAGGGCTGTCGTGAGGCAAGACTAGAGGAAAAAGCTCCTGCCGCCGCCGCTTTGGGCCATGTCGTCCTCAGCGCTTCCTCCAAAAAAAGAGAAAAATAACTAAATGAAAGGAAACGAAGCTCCTGTGTTGACACACAGCCGGCCTCGTCCGACTTAATTCGGCTTCGCTTCGCTTTCCTCTTGTCCTCCCTGAGGCGAAGAAGCGCCGTGACTTTCCCCTCAGGAGGAGAAGCCGCAAAGGGAAGGAAGGAAAGACCAGGCAGGCAGGCAGGCAGGCTAGGGGTTGTTGGCTCGAGAGACACCGGAGGAGGAGAAAGAAAAAGAGGGCGCCGAAGCCCCCACCTCCCGCCGCCTTCCTGAGGGGAGGAGGAGGAGGAAAGAGCGAAAGGCGGGCCTCGCCCGGCGGCCATCTTAGTATTCCTTCCGCTCCCCTCACGGCGCGGCGGGGAGTTGCCTTCGTGAGGGGGGCTTCGCGTCTGAGGTAAAATAAATAAGGGAGGCGGGAACAAGCTGTGGGAAGGCCGCGCACGCGCACGCGCGCTCTGGGGAGGCCGGCGGCGGCGGAGGGGACGGGACGGGACGGGACGGGGGGCCCTGTCGCTGGGAGTTGTCTGGGGATAATGGGATTTGTAGTCCAAAGACACCTCTGTGAGGAGGGCAGCGGCTCCTTTTAGCTGGCCCGCGGGTTGGCGTCCTTCTCTTTTTGGCACGAGATGGCGGCGGGACGTGTCCCGTCGGGGCTTGTTGGCACGGGTGGGGCGATTGGGGGTGTGTGTGTCTGTCCGTGTCGGGGGCTGGTCGCCACTCAGGGGAGGGTATGTGTGTGTGTGTGTGTGTGTTTGTTTGTTTGTTTGTTTGTTTCCTTTTGCTTGGGCATAAAACCTGTGACTTGTTTGCAATTTAAAATAAAATAAAATAAAATTCTGCCTCATTCTTCTGATCGCATAGTAGGCTGACGCTTAAATAGGTTTTTAAATAGGGCTACAGACCCCCATTACAGAAGGTCGTTCTGCCCTTAGATCCGTGATGGTGAATTTTGAGCCCGAGTGCCCTGACTGCAACACAAAATCAACTTTTTTTATTTCGAAGTGCCAATTGTGCAATTAAAACCCAAATGCTGAGGTTTTAGTTTAGAAAAAAACAACTGCTCCTGCACTACAAGGGACTTACCATTGGGTTTTTTCCTCCCCTATGGGCAGTATTAACAAAGAAATACTTACCGGTCCTCCAATCCCCCATTGGGCTAGACTGGTAATGGTCGCCATTGCACCCCTCCGCTGGACCACTGCACCAGCAGAGGGGAGTGCCAAAATCCAGGATGGGTGCGCAGGTAATTATTTTCCAATAGCAATTTATGGCTCATGTGCCCACAGAGAGGGCTCTTGTGTGCCTGCTGTGGCACGCGTGCCATAGGTTCGCCATCACTGCCCTAGATACACAAGGTGATGGATGGAGTGGATAGAGGGATGGACTAGGAAATTGGGAAACCTAGGTTCAAATTCAGCCATGGAAACTATTGGAGAGAGAGCTGATTAAAAAAAACCACTCTTTAAATATCTTACTTGCCTTGAAAGCCGTGATGAAGATTGCTTTCATTTCTGACTGGATGGCATCCCACATATCAGTCATGCCCTGCTTGAGGAATTTGAAACAACGACTGACTAACCATTGCTAGCAGTTGTAGGCATGCTAGAGAGATGCTTGATCCAAGCGAGTTGGGTTCTTTCATCTATGGAAGGTGTCTGTAGATGGAAGAAATTGACATCTTTTGCTTTCGCTGTGGTTTCTGTGGCTTTAAACATATGGAGCTGGCAGAAATGCCACAGGGGCATGCATCTGTTTTCACCAAACTGATGCCACGTTTTTAATAATTCAGTATTTAATGGCCACAAGATTGCCCTTTTCACATTAAGAAGTCATGAAGTTTAAATAAGAACTGATTAAATAAGAATAGCTATATTTCTGTTTGTCAGGCTATAAAAATGTTCAGGAACAGGTCAATGGAGAAAGATGGAAGTTTGGAGCCTCGTCTGAAGAAAACTCTTACTGAAATGTGTGGGGTGTGCTGATTAGTAAGTTTCTTTCCCGTCTGAAAATTTATTCTCAGCAATTTAAACAGCAGCAGTTCTGTCTGACAAGGACTGACTGATTTGAACTATTCAGGGTGTGATGTCACTTCAGCCATGCATATTAAACATGCTCTTGACGACTTACTAAGAGAAAAATTGTTCTTAAATGGTAGGGGAATGCATGGCTGTTGTGAATTGCTATGATGTCACTTCAGCCGTGCATATTAAACATGCTCTTGAAGACTTACTAAGAGAAAAATTGTTCTTAAATCTGGTGTTTCCCCCCCTCCTATTTGGAAATTAAAGGTGATGAAGGAGAGAAGGAGGTGGAAGAAAAATGAAATTTCCATGCCTTTCCTTCAGACAGCCATTTGCCGGGTTGGTTTTAAATAAAGTCAAAACCATAGAGACTCGTTGGCGACCATTGTTGGCTGAATACAAGGCTTGCACTCTTGCTGTTCACATTGCTTTTAAAGACTGGGATGACGAAACCTGGAAAGACATTCTCACAAACAGACTTGGCATGACACCAACTCAGATTGAAGAGTTATTAGAAGATGGTGAAAAGTTTGGCAGAGGTGTTATTGCAGGTAAGTGACGGTGGCATAGGTTTGTTTTGCAAGCTTCTGTTTCAGGCCTTTGGGCAAGAGGACAGGAATTGTATTTTTTTTAAATGAAAATTGACCATTGAGGGAAGGAACCTGAATATTTGGGGGGGGGGATAACCATAAAGCAGGGGTCTCAAACATGCAGCCCGGGGGCCATTTGGGGCCCACCGGATGATAAAAAATGAAAATTGACCATTCAGGGAAGGAACCTGAATATTTGGGGGGATAACCATAAAGCAGGGGTCTCAAACATGCAGCCCGGGGGCCATTTGGGGCCCGCCGGATGATAGTTTGTGGCCCCCGCCTTGCCTGCCCCCCTGAAACGCCCACGTGTCCTCTGCTGTCAAGAGTTTTAAAAAAAGCCTTGCCTCGCTCACCGGCTCTCTCCCAAGACAGCACCTCTTGCACCCTCCATCTGGAACTGCAGCTTGCCAGCCAGCCTGCCTGTCTGCTGGCTGGCGGGCTGCAGTTCTGTATGGAGGGTGGAAGAGGCGCTGTCTTGGGGGAGAGCCGGCGAGCGAGGTGCGCTGCCAGCCCTTTCCCCAAGCGCCTGAGCTGCTGTTGAGCGATGCCTGAGAGCAGAGCTTGCTCCCGGCCCTTCCTCAAAGAGTGCCGCCAACAGCAGCTGTCGCTGCTGCCACCTCTTCCAGGAAAGCGGCTCTCTGGCTCTCTTTCTCTCTCGGCACCCCCAGCACCAGCCCGGCCAGCGGCTGCCTAAGCGCCTGGCGGTGCTTCCTCCTCCTCCTCCTCCTGCTTCAGCCGCCTTGGCTCTGGAGGCTGCCTGGGCTCATCTTGCAAAGTTTGCTCCCCTGTCATGGTGGGGGTAGTTGCTGCTATTGAGTGTGCTTTTTTTGAGGGGGGCCTTCAGAGGAAGGTTGCCGGACCTCTGTGTGTGTGTGTTTGTGCGTGTGCGTGTGCACCTATGGGGGCTCCCACCCCATTCTGTTTAATTTCACGGATACCGATGGGGGCTTTTCTCCTTTGGCAAGGCGATTCTGTGAGGGTTTTAAAATTTTATGTCGTGCCCTCCTCCCCCCAGCTAAGCAGTCGCTGGTGGTCCCTCCCTTCTCCACTTCTTTGTCCTGCTGTTGCTGCTGCTGCTGGTAGTGCAGAAGGAGCCAGAGGGGTTCGTGGCCGGTGACGAGGGCTCATGCGCCCCTCCTCCTCCTCCTCCTCCTTGGAGCCGTAGCTGGGCTAAGGAAATTCCTGGGGGGCTTCCTCCAGCTCTTGCTCCGCTTGGCGAAAAATCTATGCGGCCCAGACTCTGCCTCCAGCGGCCCCCAAGTAAATTGAGTTTGAGACCCCTGTCTTAGACAGAACCTTGCATGCACCCCATGTTCTATTGCTGACTAAAGACTGCTTAGTTTCTGGTTGATCTGCAGCTACCGTGTTCCTTTTGTCACAGTTTTTCTGAATTTTGGAATGCAAAAACATACAGAGATAAAATGTGAAGGTTGCAAAGCAGCAAAAACAAATTGTGACTGATGTCATACAGAGCTGCCTTATACTACCTTTCATTTGTTTTCTTCTTGTGAAAGCAAGCAGTGAGCTTTTTCACCTGTGGCGGCTCACGGTGGAATGGTTTTCCAGAAAGGCTCGCCTGGAACTTATACAGTTGTCCTCCCAGGCCTTTAAATCTTTTTTTAAAATTTATTTTTGTGACTTTTTAATGTTTCATATTGCTATCAATCCTTTATTGTGGTATTTTTACATTTCAGACTGAAGGATAATATACAGGTCTTTGGAATACAAATAAACCAAAAAAAAAAAAAAGATAAAATGTATTTTGTTTTCAGAAAGAAAACTAAAGCCTTGTTTGTGTTTTAAAATTCAGGGCTTATTGACATTGGAGAGACATCACAATGTACAGAAGACTTACCTCCTGAAGACATTTTGGTGCTGGAAAATAAGGCGATACTCTTAGGCCTGGAACAGAAATATTTGACTGTTGTTTCAAACCCCAGATGGCTGCTGGAACCAATTCCTGCACGAGGGCACAAAGATGTCTGGCAGGTAGACATTCCAGAGGAATTGATTCCTTATGTAGAACCCTGCTGAAGGTTCATTCTGAAGATTTATTGATCATGCTTGTTCTAAGTGAAACAGAGACCTTTTCTGAACTACGTTGCTGTTTCTGGACATTTACAGTAGTTTCTGGGGAGTACTAATCAACTCTTAGGGCCCCCAATGTGTGTACACTAAGGGATTTCTTTTACCTGGATAACTATGAATTACTACTATAGGCACCTGCATTTTAAAAATCAAATAAATGTATTTTCCCCTAACGTCTTCATTCTTGGCAAGCTGATCTTACTAGGCATTTGGTCCAGTAATGAATAATACAGCCAACAATAGTAGTTTATCCCTGTAAGAAGTGAACCAGTCTGATCCAGACTCTCTGGGCAGAAGCTTTGTACAAATACTCTGCCGGACTTTCTTTGTTCCTGCAGAAGTCCTCATACTTTAAAAGCTACAGAATGGGGAGATAGTAAGGAGTAAGCTGCTGTATTGCACAGCAGCCAATCAAACTTCATCCCATTAAACACAGTGGCAGAAAAGGGAAGGGCCATAATCATTCTCATCAGTACACTATGTTCTCTCACCATCAGTGATAAACACGCTTTCATTTAATTACCTTAGGAAGTTTTTCATCAGGTCTGTCTCTATGCTTGAACACATTATGCCCATGTCTCTCCTACCCTTAAAACCATAAAAACAATGGTGTTTCCACCACCCTCTTGCAATATTAGAGTATCCCATGGCAACAATCACATTCTACCCCATTCTAGGCCTGTTACTACTGTTTAGATTTTTCCTTCTAACCCTGAACTTCCCATACCATTTCTCTGCTTCCCAAATCTATAACATAATGCCACATAATCTATTTTACTATATTAAGGAGCCCTGTTTTTTAAAATGGTATAGCTGTTTCAACATGCCTATTAGGAGAAATAGTGTTTTTGTTTAGATTATATCAACATGTCTTTGGACCATTTCACTTTGCATTTTAATTTTCACAGAAATATATTTACATTAATGTTGGCAGTGCTGAGGGAGAAAGATTTAGCTAAAAATGGACAAATCATAGAATGCTTATGAATTGTATCATTTTAGCACTTCACTCAGTGCAGTTGTCTCTATGCAGAATAAAGCATAGCATGCTTGGAGGACTCACAGCTTAGTGAACTGCATGAAATGGCTTTTAGCAAACAAAGCAATTTCAGACGTAACCGTTTCCATTGTTTCCTCCTTACTGAGGAATTCAGGGCAGCTTCGAAGCTTTTTTCCCTCCCTTCCTCCCTTGAGGTTGAACAGAGCTACTGTTCTCTATTTAGATGACAATTTTTTCTATGGTACATAATTATTACCCATTGGTGTAACCAACATAACTTCGCTTCTAAGGTCTCGCTCCATTGTTCACAACAAGAGTAACAAAATGTAAGATGGCTGAAGGTGGATGAATTAAAAGCACTGATTTTTATTTTTAAATATTGGTTGTTCTTCATGCACACATACATTTGTCAAACTATGTGTCATAATAGAAGGACCCCGACAGTTTGTAAATGTGTTTAGACCTCACTGAGCAATCATAATGAGATATCATAATTAGACTTTTTCTGGTAACTTCATTATCTTTGAGTAGCTCTGCACACTATCCCAATTGTAACAGGAAGCATCACCAATTTTATATGAATGCATTCAGTAACAAGTCTGAAGCTGCCACAATGGAGTGAAGAATTTCAGAGACCAGTTTTCTGTCCCAGATACACCATTGGTCTCATCAGCCCTGAACACTTGTAAAACTAGAGAAAAGACAAAACTAAGTGGCTGGAAGTCAAATTCTGGCTTCACGTTGGGTGTATCCTATTATTGCAAAGTCACTTGTTACAGAGACTTGCAGGATTGAAAAAAAAATGTCATTTCAACTTACATACTGCCCCATAGTGCTAAAGCCTTTTGTCCAGCCCATCATCAAATACATTGTAAAAACTGGCTGAACATTGCCAACAGTTTCTCAAACAACAAGTGATGTCACTTTATGTAAACAGATGTACATCACAGAATGTGATTAACTATCTTAACTTTTATTTATGAGAATAAAGATAATTAGTAGAAACCAAGTGAATAGCTCAAGGTGTATAATTCTGGATACACCATTTGCTTGGCAGTATTATTTTTTCTCTAGTACCTTAGATGAAAAAAGATAAGGATGCAAGTTGTAAATGCCTTACACAACAGTTGAAACCTGTAAGAGGGAAAGTAAACCTTTTAAAAAGGCATTTAATTGTTCTAACATTTGAAACTTCTTCATGGATTGCTGCCTTGTCGTGGCGAAGGGGCTTGAGTAACTCAGAGAAACTATGGGCTATGCCGTGCAGGGACTTGAAAAGGATATTTCACCAATCACATGTACTGACAATCTGTACAGACAGATTCATACTAACTGTTTGTCTTCCCTGAAGATGATGAACAAGAAAGAACTAACTAGCAGAACTAACCTGTCCTCAGTACTGTGGCTTTTCTTACAGTGCTGTTTCCTTAAGCAAGTCATCTCCTATTCTTTGGAAATGAAGTAAGGCCAATACCTGTTCTTATGCTCTATTGGTTTTATAGTGGTTATCCTTGACCCCTCTAGACCCACAGCACTATAATAGATGCTTACTGTGAACCTATGAATGTGTCATCTTATTTTGTAGGATAGTTACCTTGAATAGCCTCGAATATAGAAAATTGCTTGTCACAATGCAGTTGTTCCAATAAAACATTTTGAAAACCCTTACCTAAGTGACAGAGGACAGTATCCACATAATAGAGATAAATAAAGTCCCTGGTTCAAATTCTTCCCTATCAAATTAGTTTGTAGAAGGGCTTTTTTCCCCCACATCTACGCAGATCACCTGCCAACTTTCCAAATTCTGTGCGGCAATACTTCAATTGCGGAAGCCAAACTCCAACTAGATAGTAGCTCCCAGATGTATGCATGGTAACATGTTCTAATGGAATATTGAAAGTTAGAAATTATAAGGTTTTATGCATATGTGACTGGTCTAAGGGCTGTAAATAAACTATTCTATCTATTCTTAGATTTCTAAATCTTCGATCTGATTCTCAAGGTTGTCTTAGCCACATGTTTTATTTCTTAATCACACCAAGAAAGAAAACACCTAAGAGGTATTTTACATCCCTTGTGCAGTCCAACTATTTGCGTCTAGCTGCAACTCAATTTCCACAGAGGCCAGACAAAATTCTTAAGATGCTTGTGGATTTCACTGTCCTTCTACAGCAGCAGCAGAAAGCTGACAGCCCAGATAAATCCAATTATTGCCCCACAGGTTGCCCAGCTGCCCTTGCCATCGTTGTTGCATAATTAGACCATTGAGTAGAAACAAATTACTACTAATCCAACCATGATGAAAAAAAAATACAAAAACTAACCTAGGTAAACAAGACAGAAAGAAAGGGAAGTAAGAAATTTATTCTTCAGTCCATGCCATGGTGAATTTCCCTGTTTTAAGAGGGCCTTGAGTTTTTCAGTTTCCCCTTTGCTTCATCGGTGGTACCCCATGTTTTCTGTGGCTTTGGGCCCAACTGCTTTGGAAGCAGATGTGTTTGATGAACAGTTGCAGTTTGGGCAATGGTGGTATGAAGGCGTTCGATGATGGGATGATCTTGACATGGAAATTGCAGACGCTGCTGCTATCATAGGCATAGAGAACCATGGATTACAAAATGGGAGTAAGCTAGCCCAGTGAGCCTGCATAGCTGATAAGTCTGGATACATGGTTGGGAAAGCTGGCAGCCCCATCACTGGTGCAAAGGGGTTGTTGGGTACAGGAGGTATGACATGATACAAGGAGGTAGCAGATGTAGTGGTAGTTGAGTCTATCTCGTGTGTGTTGACTCGAGCATGGCTGCTGTGCTGGGGTAAATGGAAAGGAGCCAGCTGGTTGATTGTATTATCATTGTCCTCTGGCACCATCTGCTCAGAGGTTTTCAAAGGGGTTGGAGGAGAAGGAGCATATCCACTTCTCAAATGGGCTGCGGGTCCAGCAAGACACTTGATCATGGCAGGTTTTCGGAGTCCACATTTGTGCAATTTGTCCTTTGGAGAGCTTGCAAGGAAGCTGTTCTCTCTGGAAGCGGGCCCAAGAGTAGCTGAATCTTCAGGACTCCTTGACCTGCTCATCAGGCTGTCTTCATGGAAGTCTTCCTCTAATGAGAAAGCCATGGGTGGTGTATTTTTAATTCCCACTCTTCTCTTGCACCTTGCAAGAAGGTGAGGACAACCTCTCTTAAAATTTGGGTTATGATAGAATTGCAACTAGGATTTAAAAAAAGAGGAAGAATTAATGTTAACTTTAAGCTGTGTCTGTTGATCCTGAAATATGTAGTCTTGCTTCAAATCTAAAATTAACTTAGCCTACTTGAGAGCCTCATACTCTTGAATTGAACATTTGTGGAAATTAGTAGAGACTGTAACTCAGAAGGGTGAACAATTGGGCAAACATATGTTAACAAGGCAGTTGCTATTTTATAAAACATATGGGAGGCATTGTCTGAAGGCTATATTCTCAGGAACATATAAACTTGAACACCTATTAAATAAGTTAATTCCATAGAAAGAAAAAAAGCAAGTTGATGTATAGTTCTGCAGAATTTGACTTAATCCAGAATTTAGATTTTTTTAAAGATAGGGTCCTCCTCTAGAAGACTTTGAGGTATAGTGTTCTCACCCTAAAAAAATGGCAATAACATGTGACAGCAGTTTGATACCCCAATATCTAGTTTTAGGGCTCAGTCAGTAGTACTAAGATGCAGACTTCGTAATCAATGAAGGAAGAAAGTGACCGAATATCAAATGGAAAATCGGTTGGTTGGTTGGTTGGTTGGTTGGTTGGTTGGTTGGTTGGTTGGTTGGTTGGTTGGTTGGTTGGTTGGTTGGTTGGTTGGTTGATTGATTGATTGATTGATTGATTGAAAAATTATATGCTGCCTTTGTCCAAGGACTAGGAGCATGACTTGAGAAGGTTAAAATTCAGTTAAATTGAATGCTCTGTTTGGAGAAATTGCATAAATTAGGGTTTTCCACTGGGGATAATTATTGTTATATCATGTCAAGTTGGAATTGAGGAGAAATTTAAGAAATGGCTTTTCCATTTCTAACCCCCCCCCCATGAGTTTCCATGGCTGAGTGGGGATTCAAACCCAGGGCTCTTGAGTCCTAGTCCATGCTGGTAATATCACCTTCGAAAAAAACAGCATAGATTAATTCCTAAATTGCCAATCCCAACAGGTGGATTAATTTTTTTTCAGATAAGTTTTGTTTATAATCATGTGCTTCCTGGTGTACCAAATGAAACAAACTTACTTAGAATGAAGTAATACATCTTCTTAGGAACAAAGGGTTTTGTTTGCCATCCAAGGCCATTTATATTGCAATTCTGTATCTCTTAAACACCACTACATTCAATAGAAATTGCTTTTAAGTATATGCATAGAGTCACATTATTGGCATCATGTAACTGATGCTGGAAACAAAGACTGAAAATAGCATCTTTCAGTTCATAGGAATGTTGGTACTCACGCTGTTTCTTTGACAGTCTAAATGCTCATAATTTGAATGATACATGTTTTTGTTTTTTAATCTCAGCGACATCTTTGTCTTTGATTAACTAGAAAAGTAGCTTTTAACTCCATGGCTGGAACCTAACAATAAGTGGCAACTAGAGTATTGAATTAGTGGAATTGACCCACCAAATCCCCCCCATTCACTTTAGTTGCAACTTACTACTGGATTTTAGCCTATGGGTGCACTGCGGACTGATTATCTGCTTTTATACCCATTCATGAAGTGTTAAGAAAATAAAATTCAGCATCTGTTCAGTATGTATGTGTGTGGAACCCCAACTTCAGAAGCTGCTGTGCAATTTCACATAGTGTGACTTTTGTGCACCATGTGAGATACCATGTCACATTCCTGTGGTAGTTAGAGCCCCATGTGCACATAAACATTGGACAGTTGTCATCTTGTTCTACCTGTTTCCTTGTTACACTTTCTCTGGTCTATAAATTCCCGTTGTATGTTTTTAGCTGGTAAAAGGTACTGTTCGCATTAAGCAGTAGACTAACCTCACTACATCATCCTTTAGAAATTCCCATTTCCAGATAATTCAACTCTTTCTTTCCTGGATATTATTTTTCGTTCTTCCACCTTTATCAAGACATCTCAATGAGTTTGCTTTGCTAATTTGTTCCTTAGCAGAAGCTCATCTCTTTGTAGCACTTTACATTTTACATGCATTTCTTTCATTTTTATCAACATACTTGCCGTTTTGGTTTATTTAGCCTTCTCTCTTTAACACACCTCAGAGTTAATTACATCTGCCATGTGTCTCACACACTATGTGCAGATTTGCGTCTCACCAGATAACTTGAAGCCAGGTCCAAGTTAAAGGAAAGGTACTGGACAAAGGCAGTGTGCACATGTTGTTGAATTACAACAGCAAGTCTTTATAAAGCACTGCAGTGAGCAACTCAGTGTAGTCCTAAGGACTGGAACAGAATTGTGCAATATGAAGTGTCCATAGCATTTTGTTGTGGTGGTTGCCTGTGTAAACTGCTCTGTTTAAGCAAGTACGCTTTTCTGACATGTATACAGAAAAGGTTTTATTTTTATCCAGACTTGAAATAACATTGAGCAACCACCATAATTTGTAAGAGCTGCTTTGCCTGAGCATCATTTCTTGTACTTGAAGGAAGTTTGTGAGAATTAGGGCAAATAGCAAATGAAACATACTGCATTTTTCTACGGGAATGGCTCTCCTGAAGCCATGATGATACCTTATCATCTATTTACATTAGGTTTTGGTGTATTTGATAGCCCCATCCTGAAGAAAATGTCCAAATTCACATTTCAATGGAATCAACACTTTGCTTGCTAACATAAACCCAAGCTTGTTGAAATTAAAATCTAGGGACTTGGAAGTAGCCAAGAAAAAACATTCACCATTTCTTTGATTTATATACAGGGAGAGTACACATAATCTTATTCCATATCTACTCATAGTCAGGCAGACACTCTGAATTCCCTCTCCTACTACTGGAGAATGTGCTTCCTTTGGTCCCTGTTTTTGTCCTGCATTAGTAGGTAGAGTTGAGGTATGGATTGAACCAGTGTGGTACTATAAAGGCAAGGGAGCTATAAATTCCAGTCATCTTTATGTTTTACAGAAGTCATAGTTAGATCTTACCTTGCTAAATGCATAAGCAGCTTTTTCTTCAGCTAAAAATTCAACAAGAGAGGCAGATCTTTGGAAATTCTGTCTCATCTTGCTAAAGCCATAGAGATTGAGCTGACGAATAAAGCTTTTCATGCAGTCAGTTTCAAAGATGCGCAATTGTCCTTTTCTTTCTAGGACCTCCTTTTTAAAAAGTTCTTCGTCAATCACTACACAATTCCCATCCTCGTCCCACCACAGGGATTTAAATTGATCGCTTTCAACAATTTTCCAGAGTTTCTTTGGGAAGGTAAGGGATAGAAAATCATTGTCTTCAAGGGAACCATCATCACAGAGAGCGAGCCGTGGCCTTTTTGCCCAGGGTTCAACACTCAAAGCTTGAAAAGCATTTTCTTCTAGTATAGACCTTAAGGCTGAGTCACCAGCTGCTGTTTTATCATGCAGAGGAGTAGATGAAATGGAGATTGTGGAATGAACTGATTCATCTTCAGCCAAAAGGTGTTGCGTTTGTGCAGTAGGAACACCCACCTCCACCTCTCTTTTTTCAATCAGGTAATTCTTTCCAGATGTAGCCATTTATGTATTGGTTAAACCATGCTGATAAGACAGCAGCAGGTCTATTAAAAATGATGCCAGGGAGCAGGGAGCTTCAATAAGGAGTTCTAGAGCATCACAATGAGTCTATCTTGTGCAGGTATGACATCACAAAATGAACTTTGGTTTCCTAGCAAACGAGATCATAATGACAAGATATTAAATAGCATATATATATTTTCATTGAACAACAGAAATTAACACAGTGGCTATTCAAGAAGAGTCAAAAGCAACACACAGCAGCTGGCTTCCATTTGGTATGAGGGACATGAGACAAGTTCTGAAGGAAAGTGGGAGGCAGTAGGAAAACATGGGATGCATTGATTCAATAAATGAAATAATGGCCTTTAATTTGCAAGATCTGTGCAGAGTCGTTAAGGCTAAGACATTTGGATGTCATTAATTTCATAGAGCTGCCATTACTAACTGCTAAGATGGGAAATACCTATAATTACTGCTGAGTTCCAAATGATAACAGCCTAAACAATGTCATGCTTGGATCTAAAGCCCCATAGTGAAGAAAGTGTGTCACTATATTCTACCAGTTTAAAACACACATTCTTGAAAGTGGAACATGCTACTGTATAATGAATTTTAGATACTTTCAAAACAGAAGGAAAGTAATAATTACAAGTGCATGTGCATTAAACTCTGCCAACATACTATCTTCTCTATAGGCCCATTGATATTCAGTGCTGCATACCTCCCCTTTTTGCTTCCAAAAATTTCCTTTTGAGCTATTCTAATTCATTACAATCCTACTGATCTATTAATATCAACCATCCATCAATCTACAGCTACTTCTTCCAATCCAAGGTTACCATTTTACTTCTTTATTCCATTCCCTATCTATCAAGCCCTACCTGATTATGCTATTTGTTCTTTTATCACAATTTTTTTTTGGTGAATGGCCTAATTTCTTTATTGGTCTGATATTTAGCACCCATCTTTCCATTGCTCTTGAGTTTTCACAAGTTTGTCCATTATGGATTTAGTTAGAATCTATGCAGAATAGGTAGGTGCTGGCAACACACATGTCATAAACTGGTATTAATTTTAGAGAAGTAATTTTTCTTCAAGAATTTTGTCTATTGAAAGTTGATCATGCAGCTCTTACTCATCTCCCCACCCCTACTTTCTGAGTAGATTTCCCATGTTGTATTACTTTCTCCAGATAAATATATTCTGGTACGTATTCTGTATGATAACCATAATTACAGTATTCCTACTTTTCTCCTGACTGGGCATTATTTTTATTTAGTTTTAAACCCACTTTCTCTCAGTTTTCATTTTTATCGACATATTTTGTAAGTCATCAAAGTTATCTACTACAAGTACTACATCATTGGCATATCTAAGATGATTGAATCATTTCTCCTTGATAACAGTTCCTTACATGCTCTATCAAGTTTTTTGAACATATTCTCTAATGCTGTTATAAACAGTTTCAGACTGTCTCCTTTTCTCACTCCATAATTGGTATTTCCCTTGTATTTTCATGTAACTGGGTAACCACTGTTTATAAACTTTATATAAACTATGTCTACTTATAATTTTCTAATGCCTTATCTATTGCCCACACCTCAATTTTAATTGTTCTTCATCTCCAGATAGCATCTGGAATTTTTCAGACACTCTTAATATTTCTCTCCATGTCTGTCCACCATAACATATTTGTTCTCTCTCATGATTATTTTATACTTATTATCTTCTCAATATTTTATCTTTTTTAGTGTTTTGTTAGTTTCAGTATGTTGTCATGCCTCGTTTCTCTTGACTTAGCAGGGATTTTTTGTATGTGCAAATACATACAAAACTATGTAAAAAAGAAGGATAATACATGCAATTCAAGAGGATACTTTATTGAACAGCCAAAAAATGGGGGAGCTGAGAAATAGGTATTATTGAGCAGTAACATTTTAACAAAAATGGAAAAGCAATCATTTCTTATTTTGAAAGACAGTACCCCTCCCCTCCACACAGTAAAAATATTGTAGCTATTTACACAACAGTTTACATACCTTGATCAAGGTAATTTGATCCATTAATAAAGGAAGAACCCTCAAGTCCTACCTGAGGACATGCCAGAAACACGGTGTTCATGAGGAAATGAAGATGCAAGGAGCATGCTGATATAACACCATATAACTATGGTACTTCAACATAAATGGAAGGCAACTTTACAGAATAACACAAAATACCACTCACAATAGACTATGCTTTTCATACACCATTTAAAAAATACTTTTATATATTTATACTGTACAGATTTTTAAAAATATATTACATTGCCAAAAGTTCATATAAATACTATACAGGCAAGCTTTTAATTCAACCAGTCAGAAAGATTCCCAAGTATAAGCCCTCCCTTTCACTCTTCTGACACTTTGTGGCTGCAATCCAGCCGCAGTGGCATGCACACAAAGGCCACTGATTTCAGTAGATCCTGCCCCAACAAAGAACTGGCCTGGTTTCAACCATAGGATCATATCTCAAATGAATTATCACGATTGGAAAAAATCTGAAATTTTTGATGAACTCTACACAAGTTCAATGCTCATACCTGAACATAAATGTAAATTATGTTCTGTAAACAGAGAATTGATAAGATCTTTTCCACTTGTGAACTTTGCTGTGGCTAGGATGTTTTCACTCATTTTACTGGTGTAGTATTTCAAATGCAAATTTATGGAAATTCTCAAAGAAATTATGTTAACACAGATCTCCACTATCTACATTATAAACCACTGGGGCATAATTCTCTATTTATAACCAAACTGAAACAAAAGTGTGAGAAAAAAACATGTTGGCCACTGATCTACCCCCCCCCCCGCCACCCCC